CTGTTGGAGCAAGTCTGGAGGAGGCCCCAAGATGATCAGAGGGATGGAGCAGCTCTGCTGGAAGGAAAGGCTGGAGAGTTGGGATTGATCAGAGAAGAGAAGGCTTTGGGGTGACCTGATTGTGGCCTTGCAGTGCCTGAAGAAAGATGGAGAGAGACTATTTCCAAGGGCTTGGAGTGACAGGACAAGGGGGAATGGCTTCCCACTGCCAGAAAATAGGGTTATATAGGATATTGGGAAGAAATTCTTCCCTGTCAGGGTGGTGAGGCCCTGGCACAGGTTGCCCAGAGAAGCTATGGCTGCCCCTGGATCCCTGTAAGTGTCCAAGGCCAGGTTGGACAGGGCTTGGAGCAACCTGGGCTAGTGGAAGGTGTCCCTGCCCATGGCAGGGGGTGGAAGGAGATGGTTTCTAAGGTCCCTTCCAACCCAAGCCATTTTGGGATTTGGTGATTTCTCCCCCTCTGCTTTCTTTATATCTGCAGCTGAGCAGATTTTCCCTGTTATTCCCTGCAAGTTGATAACAAGGAATTTCCAGCACGGACATCTTCTCAGAGCCAAATTCCTCCCCAGAATGTGAGGTCTGGGTGAGGGATAGGGTTTGTCCCCCCTTCTGGTGATGAAAGAGTTAATCAGATGGGGGCAGCTCCTGTGTTTTGATGGGATGAAGGAGAAGAACAGGGCAAACCAGTCCCCAAAGCCTGTCCAGGTCAGAAACCCCTCCTGGTGTTGGCTCCCTCACACTCCCCGTGGGTATCCCTGGTGGAAGAGCCTCCAGGAGAGCTCCTGTCCCCTGGTACACTGTAGAGTCAATAAAGTTAATGGAGCTCAGAGAGGGAACCATCCAACCAAAGCAGAGTTTTAATTCTTTTCCCTGTTCCAGGAGAAGCTGGATCCTGTCACACACTGCTGGCAGTGGGGGCTGTCTGAGCTCAGCTTTCCCTGCAGAACCCCCATCAAGTCCAGGGCATCTCAGCCCTGTGGGAGCCCCAGCCCAACCAAGAAAGATGTTTCTACCTCCTAGACCTGCTCCCTGCCCTGTCTTGCCAAACCTAAACCCACCATTGTGATTTAGATGGGATACTGGGAAGGAATCCTACCCTGTGAGGATGGTCAGGCCCTGGCACAGGTTGCCCAGAGAAGCTGTGGCTGCCCCAGCCGTGGAAGTGTCCAGGGCCAGGTTAGATGGGGCTTGGAGCAACCTGGGCTGGTGGAAGGTGTCCCTGTTGATGACAGGGGGTGGAACTGGGTGAGCTTTAATTTCCCTTCCAACCCAAACCATTCCATGATTCAAAGACTTCAAGTAACCAACTCCTCCTCATTCAAAACCTGTAAAGTCCACCGGGGTCCTTCCACACACTTGCCCCATCTGTGGATAAGACCTTGAAGGCTCCAGCTAATTCCTCCTTCCCAGAATTGCAAGTCATGAAGCAGCAGTGTCCTCCTCCCTGGAGGGAAAATCCTGCCTGAAACAGTGAGGACAGTGGCCAAGGCTGAGCCTGAGAGATTCGGCCACACCTTCATGGCACATGTCACACCCCACCTGGTTCCTGCTGCATTTTAAGAAGTACCTTGCTTTCCCAGGGACGGGCATTAGCTGAACAAACTATTTTATTTCACTGATTAATTAACACAGGAGAAAGCTCTGACCTTGCTGTGGGGGTAATAATGCCCCTGTCACACCCCCACAAGGGGATGGTTTAACTGCGTGACCCCCTGAGCAGCTCCATCATTACTGGGTGAGGAAATATTGGGATGAAATCCTGTTTCCTGAGGGGGCAGTGGGTGACCCTGGCAGAGCAGAGCACACACAGAGAGGAATTATCTGCTTTATGCAATCAGCAGATCAAGAGATAATAACAGTGCAGGAATGTCATGAAGTCCATGCCTGGCTCCATGTGCATTATCCAGCCACGTGCCAAGAATTCAGGATCAGAGGCATCTGGGCTGTCAAAGAGTGGTGCTGAAAGAAAAGCAGAGCAAACTTTGTCCTTTGTTCTGGGTTGATCAGAGTGAAGCAGGAGGGGGTGGAGGAGGGAGATGCTCCTGGACGTGAGGCTGCAGCAGGGCCTGGAATCTGCCTTGGGACCACATCCAAAGCCCTTGGATTGATTGCCAGCCCAGTGACCTCCCCTGGTGTTCCACTGACCTGAAAGGGCTGTGGATGGACAGAGGAACAGGAGCTGCTCCTCAGCTTTCAGGTGAGAGCCAGGGGCCTCAGAATCTTCCCTTGATGGAAGTCTGGTTTTGGTGGTGCCTGTCCCAGTGACAGGGCTGGTGGTGGCCCTGTGGCTCAGCACTGACCCGGCACCATGAGGCCAATCCTGCAGATAGTGGTCCCAATATCCCTCCCTCAAGTGGTCTGCAGCCAGGGATGAGGTTCTAAACCCTGTCCCCTGGGCTGGGCTGCATGTGCATCCTCAGGAAATTCACAGAGATATTTCACCTCCTGCTTCAGTCCCTTGCTGTCTTTCTAAGGAGAGTTTGGTGGCAACTCCCTCCAATTCACTCTTTTCCATTTTCTCTGTATTTATAAAGTCATTTTCCTCTGCAAATTCCTGTTTATCCCATTATCCCTGCACAGAGTCCAGTGGCTTCTTCAGGACACTTTCCATTTAAAGATCAGAGAAGATGAGACAGCACCATCATCCTGCTTTCCTAGGGGTCACTCTCCTAGTCTGTGGGAATACACAGAAAGCCTTTTCCTCCTTTCCCATCATAACACAGCAATAATGGAAGCATTTCCAATACCTAGTGTGGTGGTTGCTCCCTCACCACCCTCTAGACCTGCTGTGAGGTTCTTGTAATAAATTCAGCACTGGAGCTGGTAGGAGACATCTCAGATGAGTGTTATGGGCTTTTCTTCCCCCCGCAGGAAAACGCAGTCGGACTGAAATCAAAACATTTTGAAGGAAATGTGTTGATTTTGACTGGGAAGTATCAAAACAGATTGTTTCAGCTCTCTCGGTTTGTTTTGACAGGATCAAAATGTTTCATTTCCATGAGGTAAAAACAGTCGGGGCTGATTTTGCTCCTAGTTTAGTTTTGACTTTCACTTCACACAAAATCATTGTGTTTTTGTCATGAGGGGCTTGAATAGAGGCCAGTGGTAGTGTCAGAGTGGGAGGCCTTCAGCATTCCAGGTGTCCCCAAGCCAGAGCCGGAGCTCTCCTTCCTCCTGGCCACCCCCAGCCCATCACGGCCACCGAACCAGAGCAGAAACAAATCCACATCCACCTCTGGGGCCAGAGCTGAGGGAAAGGAACAGCAGCAGCTTCAAATGCCTTTCCTCAATTTATTTCCTTATCTCCTGATCTTTGCTGCCAACCCTTTGGGTGCTGCTGGAATTCCCCACCCAGCAAACCCACAGCTCCATTTCTCACCTTGCTGGGCTTCAACCACTGTTTTGTTACTGCAAGGCAGCAAAAGGGTTTAATGTCTGTCAGTGAGGACTTGCTGCAGATTAAGGAAAGCGATTAAACCAAGGTAACATGCAGGAATTAACCTTTGGAGGATAGAACCAGCTAAAATGCCTCCTCTTCCTCAGCCTGTCTGCATCACAAGGTGATTCATTCTCCGTGGTGCTCATTACCATGCTATAAAGCTGGGAGAGAATGTGGAGGCAGCTTGAAATGCCCCCAGCTTTAAAAAGTTTATTTCCTGGCTCCGTTTTTCGTTGTGCTTTCCCATTTGCCTGCTTTTCCCAGGCATTTGGGGATGTATTTGCCTCTTGTGCCCCATCATGGCTTGGGAAAAAAATGAGTTTCCTTCAGAAGTGTCTTATTTTCCATAACTCAGCCACGTCTGAATGACCCGGATTGCTTTAGGTAGAGGAGATGAGGGTTAAATGGCCTGTGAGACGAGTTCCCCCTCCCTGTGAGGGTATTGCTCACGTGCCACTTTCCCCCTTCTCCCATTGATTTTTTTTAGGAGGTTTAGTATTTTGTAGACCTTTTTCTTCCAGCAACTGAGGTTAAAGCTGGCTGAGATGTTAATGTGTTCATTAACACTGATCCCTTAAGCTTTATTTCTGTGAAAGCTGAAGGGTTACAGGGGTTTGAGCAGATGGTGCTGGGCTGGGGTGGGAAAAGACCCCAAAGCAGAAAGCAACAGGTCAGAGAGGCCTGGGGAGAGCAGGAGGAGGGGACAGGGACCTCAAACAACATACAGAGTCCTTCATCAAAGCACCAGCTGAGCTTCTTCTTGGAGGCAAAGCAAACCTCCATGCACCTGGAGTGTTGCCCATGGTTGATTTGGTGGGTCCAGCTCAGCCCCTCATCCCACAGGTCAATGGTCATGTGGAGTGTCAGTGTTTTAGGGATATATTAGGAGTGGGATATGGACTGGAGTCTGTCAAACAGGCAGAGCAGCTTCTCACCCTGCAAGTAAAATTAACTCCTTGCAGTTTTGGTGGGGTAGCTGGAGCTGATCCCGTGGCCTCTCTTCTGTCCCTCCCCACAGGACTGGGAAAAATGACGCCATGAAACCACATCACTGGGCTAAAAATGGGAAAAAAGGAAGACACAGAGAGAGAGAAACGGGGCTGCAGCAGGAGGGGAAACAGCTACCCCACTGAGGTGTTATTCTGAGAGCCCTGAGAAGTTCAGAAACACCTTTATTTGTAGTTTCCACTTTGACTTTGCTCAAACTGGAGGGTACAAATGCATTGCTGTCGCTGGAGCTGCTGATTCTGCTACTTCTCCAGAAAGAAGTGCCTTTGCCTTTTTTTCCCCATCTCGTGGCTCATAAAACAGGGATTAAGAGCATTTTTTTTTTTTCAAACACAGTTTTTTGTAATAGCACAGCCCCAAAGCCCTGCAATCAGCAAACTTGAGCACGACCTGACAGCCAAAACTGCCATTCCTTAACCCACAGGACAAGCAGTGCCATTCGCTCCCGGGGGGAAGGGTGAGCAGGAGATGTTTCTAATTGTCCTTGGCTCGGAGCCACAGCACAAACACTCCAGCACGAACTGCCTTTCTGTGCCCCATTCCAGCTCAGGAAATGGCTTTGCCTGGATTTCAGCGGCTCAGGAGCGCCTGGAACTCGCATTCCTGCAGAAAGGTGGGAAAGGAAAGGACGGCTGGGGAAGGACCAGGGTGGGCGGGAAGTTCTCCAGCAATGCCTGTGAGCACATCAGGAGTGAGAGACGACCCCCAGGAGGTGGGACAGGACCCCCAGGAGGTGGGACAGGACCTTCAGGAGGTGGGACAGGATGCCCAGGAGGTAGGACAGGACCCCCAGGAGGTGGGACAGGACCTCCTGGACCCAAAGCTCCTGTTGAAACCTACTGGAAGTGTCTCTGGGTATTCAGTTCTTCATGTCAAGGAGCACAGGAACTCTCACATGGAAGAGCTTCTGTTGCCTTCAAAATCCTCTGGGGGAGGGTGTCCCTGCCCATGGCAGTTCTGCTGGAATGAGGTGGGCTTTAAGGTCCCTTCCAACCCAAATCGTTCCATGGTATTTTACCCTCAGCCATGTCTCCCACACTATTGGAAGTACCTGAATCTGTCTGGGATGTCCACACAGGGCTGGGAAATAACACAGAGATGTTACGAGGTCACAGGCACTCCTGAAGTGACTTTCAGCAGCCCAGGGTAGATACCTGAGGTGGATGTTCCTGGAACTGACCCTGGGCACCTCTGTGGGCAGCTGAAACCCTCCATCCAAGGCCCTTCTCTGCCTGCAGAACACCCCAGATCAACGCAAAGCTGGGCCATCTTCCAGCTCTGCCTCATTCCCCACCTCTGATCCCACTGAGCTGGGTTGGGATCGTGGAGATAACTCCACCAGCCCCTGTCCACTGTGCAGAGCACTGAGCAAACATGGCCAGTTCTGGGCTCCAGGCCAGAACCCACAGCAAACAACGTAAACAAGGATTGGGAATGTTCAGGTTAAGCAAAAACCTGATCAGCCCTCCCTGAAACTGGGGAGAGGCAGTGGCAGCATTCAGGGAAGACAAAGGGTGATGTTGGCAGGGGGTGAAGGATGTGGCTGTCAGAGGCCAAGGTGGGAGTTCAAGGGGGGATGAGCTACTGCACTGCTGGACCCCACAGTCCCCACTGGACAGTCCTAATATTTGATGCCCTTTTAAAATGCTACAAATAGCTTTCAGAAGAGAATTGAGGTGCTTGGCATGAGCCTCCCCAAAAAAACCTCACTGCACAAGCTCTGTTAAAGCCACGTGACAGAGACTGTAATCCTTGATAAACTTCATGGAATCCTAGAATAGTTTGGTTAGAAAAGACCTCAAAGATCATCTAGCCCACCCCTCCCACTTGTTGGATTTGTCATTCCTGTGGACAGGATGATGGATTTGAATTTTCTGCATCCTGTTTTCATTGATGGTCCTTTGTGAGGAAATACGACTGGGATGGATTTTCTTTTTATGGATCCAACTGAAACAATGGCAAAACATTTCAATTAAAGTGCAGGATATGGAATAGGAGTAAACTCACATCTACACACTCCCAACGACCCAAATATATGATCACAGCAACAATAATCTTTCATGGGAACAGCCCAGCATCGACTCCAAACGCTGATTTCACTGGATTATGTGCTCATGTACCTGCAGGCAAAACTGCACATTCCTTAAGGTAGGAACCAGGAGGATTTGGCAAGTTTATTTAAACCCACAGAGGGTGCAGCGAACCAGGAGTGCCACAGAGATCATGTCACACTGTCACACTATGGGATGGGGACAGCTCCTGGTGAGAACTGAGCCATGTGTTCCTGGGGAGGAGGGGTCAGGCTAAAGCTCCATGTGCTGAGCACACCTGGAGCTGCTCCATCAGCCCTGGGGACCAGGCTCGGGTCTGAATTGTAGGATTTTCAAGTTTTCATCAGGAATTGGAGTGACAGGACAAGGGGAATGGTTTCCCACTGCCAGAAAATAGGGTTAGATGGGATATTGGGAAGAAATTATATTATATAACCAGGCTATATCTGAGTAGGTGTCCTTCCTACTGTAATAACTGGGATAAGAGAAAAAAAACTTCAGAGTGAGAGCCTGAAAATCCTGGTCCTGCCCCAGGATCCCCAGTCAAAGCAGCACCTCTGGGGTCTGCAGGTAGAGGACAAATCCACCCACCCACTCAGAGCCTTTCCTGCTTTGTTCCCCAACACTTGCACTTAATCCAGAGCTTGGCAGAGGCTTCTACTGCCCCAGCCTGAATTACCACGGAAAATGCTGCTGATGGACAGCAGGCAAAGCTGTTCCAACAAGCTGCACCAAGAGGAAGGTCACAAGGAAATCCAATAGGGAGGTTTCAAACAGAAACCCCCGTGGTAGAGGACAACCTCCACCCAGGGATGCAGCAGCAGCAGAATCATCTCTGCTGTGTGGTCAGCTTTGCTCTCAGGGCCCTCAGCTCCTTCTCTCCAACCAAGCACTGACAGAATGAAGATCTTCAGATGTTTATTGGTTGGACGAATCCTGGCAGAAGTTCTACAGCTGTGTCTAAAGCCCTGGTTGTGACACCAAGGTGACTCCCTGCCAGTTTTCCAATCCTTGTTCCGAGTGCTGGAGGTACAAGAGTTTTCTTCAAGAAACCACTGTCAGTGTGTTTAAACCAAATGAAACTGCATTTTTTCATAATCTTGTTCATATTGATCCCTTCTATGAAACCGAGGAACACGTAATCAGCTTTTCTATATATCACAGGCTGCTAAAGGTCACCCAGATATCTACAGCTAGCCAAAATATGAATTATTGCTAATATTTCCAACCTAAAGACAGAATGCATCTGTTACAGACAAGGACAGGAGAGAGAAGGATGTTACCAATGTATTTTTTTAATTTATGGCATGGAAGAGAAAAGTCCTGACCAAGCACCCTGTGCCTGCATAATTTCATGGACCCTCCTTTTCACCTGTATCAGTGGAGCTGAGTTGGGTTCCTTCAGCTTCACATCATGAAGTGATTCTCCAGACCTGGATGCTCTGGGAGCAGATTCTGGTCTCTACTTTTCTTTGATCTTGCAGCAGAGATCATCAAAACCTGTCACAGCATCCCAAGAGATGTTCCCCAGCCCTGCCCAACGGGCCCCTCGTGTCACACCAAGGGCTGCACGTGGTTTTTTGGGAGGTGGGGAGTTGGGAGGATGAGCTGTAGCACACCAAGCATCAGCCTCGATGTGTCCAGCCCTCAGGCTCCAGATCCCCGCTCTGCCTGTAGAAAGGGTGTGAGAAATGGCCTTGTTCATTTCCAGGACTGGAGTTGTGTCCAGAGCCCTCCATGCTATTTAACCAGGACTTCATTCCCGAAGTCTTCTCATTGCTGTCTTCTGGAGTTGGACCCCTTTGTACCCTCTGGAGAGAGAAGGAATCTCTCTGGGAATGACTCAGAGCTAGAATCAACTTGTCCTCACGATCAGCTCAGGACAAAGTCTGAAAGGATTCACCTTCCAGGGTTAAATGCCAGATGGGGACAGTTCCTGGTCCAAAGAGCCCATGAGGAATCCTAGACAATTCATGATTTCATTTTAGAGGAGCAAAATGGAGGAGGTGAGATGCTGAGATTGGCAAAGCTGACAAGTCAGGCTGCTTCTGGCTCCTGGGTGGGATTCCAAAGGCAGGAGGGACCTCTTTGACCACCAATGCTAGGTTCCACTTCTGCCCACCCTACCCAGATATGCTCAAATAGGGCCATGTGGCAGATGTGTTTTCACTCTCAGTGCTTCTACTGTCCACTAAGAAAATTAGAAACACCAGTTTTGGCAGCCAGAGTTTCTGCATAGTCCCTGGAATGGCTTTTCCTTCCTGGTTGTACCTGTGGACATCTCCTTGTGACAGGGCAGGATCCCTGCCAACCTGCCTGGCCGTGCACTTGGATTGCCTTTGCAGGGAAGAACAAACACTTGTGTGGCCAAGGTAAATCAGGGCTTTGTTTTTCCAGCTCCTTTCCCTTTGTTTGTAATTCCCACTTCCATTTCAGTGGCTGCATCGCTGAGCATTTCAATGAGAAAACCCTTCCTGGAGAAAATGAACCATGAAACGCTCCCAGAGCTCTGGGACAGAGCAGCAGAAGAGGAAGACATTGGTAAAAACATTCCTAAACAGGGAGAAATCCCATCCAGGTATGGCCCCAGGTATCAGCAGGTGGTAGGGATAGAAGATGAGGAATGCAAAGATAAATGTGGTGCCTCCTGATGTCCTGAGATGAAAGCACAAGGCCTGTGGAGTGGAGTCAAACATTTGTGTCTGTCTGTTCTCCAGGAACTTTTGGAAGGATAGTTCTCCTTGTGTTTTGTTGAAATAGAAGCCAGACTGCAGAGAAAATCATTAGGAGCTGTGTTTTTTTTATTATCTGTGATTTTTTTTTTTTTGCCTCACGCTAATGGATCCCAGACCATTCCAAACCAAACAATAATAGCTGGGGGGGAGCTGGAGGGATCCCTTCCTCTGCCAGGGCTGAGCTGTCAAGCATCTAATCACAACCAGGAGATGGGAACCGAGCCCAGAGCTCTTCAATGTTCACTTCCCAGGAAGAAAGGAAGGTGGAAAAGCACCCCAAAGTGTCCAGAGGTGGTTTGGATCCAGACGTTTCAAATAAGGCTTGAAGGTGAATACACCTGAGAGACCATCAGGGCCCTTGCCATCCCATTCCCTGTAGTAAGGAGCAGTAAAGCTGGAGCAGAGCACAGCTCTCCACAGCAACATGAGCTACAAATCCATTGGTATTCCTGGATAATCCTTTCTTCCTGCACCAGAATAAGAGGATCAGAAGGGCTGTGATCACAAAGTGATTCAGACAAACACAAGGAGCTGAGTTTCCCTGGGTGAGTTCCATCCATTCCCTGGATGGTGCCTGTGCCAAAGGATATGGTGAGGGCTGAGAGTCCACTTGGACTCAAGGGCAGAGTAGACAAGAGCAGAGAGGAAAAATCCATGGATACAGAGAAACTCCAGGACAAGAGGCAACGGCCTCTAGTTGTGCCAAGGCTAGTTTAGATTGGATATTAGGGAAAATTTCTTCATGAAAAGGGTGGTGGTGGAGTCACCAACCCTGGAGGAATTTAAAAGACACGTAGATGAGGCACTCGGGGACATGGGCTAGTGGTGGCCTTGGCAGTGATGCTGAATGGTTGGACTCCATGATCTTAGAGGGTTCTTCCAACCTTAGTGATTCCATGATTCTACAGACAGAGAACAAAGGCCCTGATCTGGAGCCTGAGGGAGTGTTTGTGGGGAGCGTTACGTGGCTCCCAAATTAATTCACATGGAAACGGATCCTTCACCCCAACACTCTGTGATCTGCCAATGTCTAGAGGGATGATTGTGCTAGTATAACCCTTCTCCCTCTCCCTGGTTGGTCCAGGTGCTCAGAAAATCCATTAAAACTCCCCTGGAAGCAGGTTGGATCCTTGTTCAGTAGCCATTACCTTCACAGCTGGGGCAGACCTGCTCCCCAGTGGTCATCACACCTTGTCCGATGGATACAAGTGGATTTTCGGCTCACGGAAGGAATATTTCTGCCAAGCAGAACTTGCAGCACCCCTCCCCACGAACTCAGGGCAGAGCCAGGAGGGGACCCGACGCCAGGAGGTCAAGAAGACAAAACCAGCCTTGTCTCATAAATATGGAGCAGGACAAGGGGAACGTGGGGAGCATCAAGGATTCACTGAGCGCCTACCGACAGCGTTCATGGCTCAGCACACCAGAGCAAATACTGATGATTTCAGCAGGCTGAGAGCAAGATTTGGGGAGAAATGGCCACTTAAGAAAGGCAAATTCTCTGTAAGTGAGGTTTGGTGTCTCAGAGCTCATTCAGGAACTGCCTGGGGCACACACAAGGATTCCTGACATCTTCCATTTACCCTGTCTCGGGCTTCCGGTGAACCAACTGCTCCAGTAGCACTGCTGTCCCTGTTTATTGGCAGTGCATTAACCTCTGCCTGGAATGATCAGCCTCAGCAACTTCCCAGTGGCCTTTACACTGTTTGCAGCTCAATTCCACAGCAGATAATGTTATTTATTCAGCACATTGCTAATGTGGGATTACAACGGGACCCCGTCTGGAAATGGAGAGAACCCCCTGCAAGAAGCTGGTGTGAATTCATTATGAATCAGTGCTGCTAAAATCAAGCATCTATGGAGAATATCTGAGCAGTGACCTTCATACAAAATGTATCGTGCAACACTCGCTATTAAAATAATCATAAACACAGTAAGCAGTAAACAAAACAATCAAGATGTGTCTGGAAAATAAATGCGGTGAGGGAATGGTGGATGGAAGGGGGATTAAATTTCCATTTAGGTATTACAGCAATGAAGGGTTGGGAGAGGTTTCTTTCCCTTTTTTTTTTTTTCCTCTTCTCAAACAGTGTTTCCACAATCAATAGCGGGGGAGGGAAGTGGTGTGATTAGTAACGTGGTGAGTAATTGCTCCGGTTTGTCACCGCTCACCTTCAGTGGGACAGCTTAGGAAAGGAGGCTGCTGGAGCTGGCCCAGCCAACATTTGTCCAGAGCCCAGGGAGGATCCTGCTGCCTGCTTGAGTTCTGTGTGCTTTTTTGATCTGCTGCTTTGCCCCTGCCAACATCTGTCCTTCTCCCTCTGAGCAAGCTGGCCACTCCCGGATCCAACGGCAGCAGTGCCGGGCAACAGGGACACACAGAGCCAGTCCTGTGATCCATGGGATGGGGAAATGGAGCTGCAGTGCCCTTTGCCAAGAAGGATGGCAGGGATGAGGTTGGAGCAGACCCCCTGCACCCCTGCTGGGGGCTGTGGCAGCGTGGAAGCACAGGGAAGAGGTTCCATCTGTCTTTCTGAGATGTCACAAAGGAAGTCTTGCTTTCATTTTCAGTCTTGTGCTGTAAGGAAAGGTGATGCCCCTGGAATTGGGATGCCTTTGTGCATCATGAAGAGATACCAAAGACCTGTGTCCACTGGAAGTCCCAAGCTGGTGGTGGTTCTGCAGGATACACAAGCTGTGCCTAAAAATGGAGCGCTCGAGAGTGTGCCCTGAGGATGGGCAGTGGGTGACCATTCCTGGGATGAACATCATGCCCAGCAGGTGATCACTGAGCTCGTGGATCTTCACAGCACCATGGAATTGTTTGAGTTGGAAGGGACCTTAAAGATCATCCCCTTCTGGCCCCTGCCATGGGCAGGGACACCTTCCACTAGCCCAGGTTGCTCCAAGCCCCGTCCAACTGTGTCGTGGACACTTCCAGGGATCCAGGGGCAGCCACAGCTTCTCTGGGCAACCTGTGCCAGGGCCTCCCCATGCTCATGTTGAAGGATTTCTTCCCAATATCCCACCTAACCCTATTTTCTGCCACTTTGAAGCCATTCCCCCTTGCTCTGTCACTCCAGGCCCTTGGAAATAGTCTCTCTCTATCTTTCTTGTAATTCCCTTCAGGTCCTGGAAGGCCACAAATAGGTCACCCCAAAGCCTTCTCTTCTCCAGGCTGAACAGTCCCAATTCTCCCAGTCTTTCCTCAGAGTCCTGTAGGATCTCCTTCCCTGTCAATAATCACCATGTGGTTCTCCCAGTGCCCCCCTTGCTTTGATCTCCTCAGAAGGCCTCCTGGTTTGAGCATACCCCTGTTCTAGTTTTTCCCCCCTTTTCCACAGGTTTCCTTGTAATCTCCAGTTTTTCCTCCCAGCCCTGTTGTACAGTTTCCTGCACAGCTGCACTCAGAACATCTCACCTGCTGCACTCACTGCTGTTCCCTTCCATACCCTCAGGCACTGCCTTTGCTGTTCCATTGGATGACACCCCCACCAGATGGACATCCAGTCCTTGGCAGGAGACATGGAAAACCACTGGAAGGATCTCAGGATTCGGGATAGAGAATATTTGTGCTGTCTCACTCCCCTCTCCCACCCTCATCCCACAGGCTGACATTTGCCTTCTGCAACCAGCTCCTTTCTGGTCCTGCATCTCCTCTGCCTCCCTTCCAACCTGCAGCACAATCCCTGGAAACTCATTCCTTGTCGGTTTGCTCCTGCCCAGATCAGCTCCAATCTTTAGCTACTCAAGGAGAGAACAAAGTAGAAATGAGGTTCTGGGGACAGCCTTTTGTCAGAGGTTTCAATATATTTGGTGAGTTCCAGTTAAGTTGGAATTTCCCCATTTTCATTCTCTCCACGTTTCCCAACCTCTGTGTCCCAGCTTTTTTTGATGATTAGTCTTTTTCACATCCCTTCTGCTCCTTTCTCCTTCCTGGAAGGTTCTCACCTTAATGCTCAGATATGTTTAGTCACCCTGCCACAGCTGGGATTTTTTGCGTCATATTTTCCCTGTCAACCAACTTCCAGGCTTCCTCCTTAACTTTCAGGCCCTCAAGTTTTCCAGTAAGTTCCTAACAAACGTCCCAGATTTCCCTGGTTTTGCCTTTGTGAATTTGGGAGGAACTCATGCTTAATTCCTCCCACTGAAATTCCAAATTACTTTGACATGGTCAGCCCCCACAGTTATTTCCTATGACCAACTCACTGGCTGTGACCAAGTTAACCAGGATCTGGGATTCTAAGGTGACAAGGAATTTGTTGGATTGGTTCCTACCCAAAGAGACCTCATTGCACCTACAGGGGTTGTTGTCCTGATCTTCCCTTCCCTCTGTGTGCCAGGAGTTCCCAGATTTTCCTCCACCTTTGGCTGCATCCCCAACTCTCCCCTGTTCCCCCCATGTTGGGAAATGCCACAGTTATAAATCAGTGTCCATCACATTCCCACTGGAAATATTCCCCTAGATCTTCCCTCCTCCCCATCCCTTCACCACCTCATCTGCTGCCATTAAGGGCTCTCCTCTGCCCTCATAAGTAATAAAAATATTCATTATATGATCTCATCTGAGGGTTTTTTCCCCTTCCCTTGGAGGCAATGGCAGGTTGCACATTTGCTCTCAGTCCCTTTTCAGTGCTCCCACCCCCCTGAACATCAGTCACCCTGAGGAAGAGCTCCTTCAACGGAGCGTTATCAACGAGCCCCCATCGATGCTTCCCTCCTGATTAGCACTAATGAATCTAATAGCACGCTTTTATCAGTCTCCCCTCACATTAGATAGTTTATTGATGTACTTTGCTGCCTATTTTCTGTAATGAAAACTATGAAATTGCATATCTATCATGTCTAAGCAGTGATGTAACTCCGAGCCAGCTTTAATTGTTGATTTCTTTCAGCGAGAAGGTGATTTTAGAAGCCATAACTACAGAAAGCCCTGGAGTTATTTCTTTACCCTAATAAATAACCTGCTTTCCCATAAAGGCAGAAAATTCAAACTAATAAATGAAAATAAATTTTCGTTCGCGTGGCATAATTAGCTCGGGGGACTTCTCACCACGGAAAGTCGCTCAGCCCAAGAATATTCCAAGATGAGAAAAGCTCAGGCATGAAATAGGTAAGCAGAAACCCATAGTTATTAAAGGTGTGGCTTAGAAGGCTTTGGAAGGGACATGGAGCTGAATATCTCAAGTTTGCTGCATTTTTTCCAGAGATTGGGTTGAGTTCTAAGGCAGAGCAGGAAAGACTGAAAGTCTGGTGCCACTTTTTAAAGTATCTACTGAGAAGCAAAGGCCACAACTCACTGAGAATCCAAAGCATGGATTTCCACAGGTCTGTTCTTCCACAGGATCCCAGAATGGTTTGGCTTGGAAGGGACCTTAAAGACCATCTCACTCCACCTCCTACCATGGGCAGGGACAACTTCCACTAGCCCAGGTTGCTCCAAGCCCTGTCCAACCTGGCCTTGGACACTTCCAGGGCTGGGGCAGCCACAGCTTCTCTGGGCAATTTGTGCCAGGACCTCCCCGCCCTCAGAGCCAACAATTCCTTCCCAATATCCCATCTAACCCTGCCCTCTGGCAGTTTGAAGCCATTCCCCTTGTCCTCTCATTCCAGGCCCTTGGCAATAGTCTCTCTCCATCTTTCTTGTAATTCCCTTCAGGTCCTGGAAGGCCACAATCAGGTCACTCCAAAGCTTCTCCTCTCTAGACTGAACAATCCCAACTCTCCAGCCTTTCCTCCCAGCAGAGCTGCTCCATCTCTCTGATCATCCTGGGGCCTCCTCTGGACTCTCTCCAGCAACTCCATGTCCTTGCTGTGCTGGGATTCCAAACCTGGATGCTTCGAGTCCTGACTGGGATTGTTCACTCCAATCCAATGAAGGTGTTTCCACAGGGAAAAAAACATTCTCAATCAGTTAAGCTTCATATAAATCTTCATCCTCCTGTTTACAGTGAAATAACTTCCTTTAGTTCCTAATACATTAAAATTAGCTGTTTGTAATCCTTTTTTATGGGATGAGCTCAGGGTACAATATTAGAATAAATGCAATGAAACAACTGGCATGTTCCAGGAAACTGGGTAGTTTCACCTAAATCCTATTATCTTAAGAAAACACTGAAATCTTCCTAAAATCAGAACTTTTCGGAGTTTTTATTAAAATCAGAATTATTTCGCCTTTTTTTTTTTTTCCCCCATGAATCAGTAGGTTTTGGTGGGGTTTAAGCCAAGAAGAGGGTGATTTTAGGGGTTAAATGACAGGGGGGCTGAGGGGTCACTGTTGGTCACAGTCATGGTCAACACAAGGGTGGGGGATCCAGGTGATGGCTTGTCATGATTCCAGCAGCTGCTTCCAAACCTACCTTGGCTATTCAGTCACATTCCTGGCTGGATAAGCACCACAATCAATTTTTAAGACACTCCTGACCCCGGGGACAGGTTTTTCCCACAGTTCATCAGAAGTTCTCTGGACAAACCAACCCATGGCTGTTGTTCAAAGGGAGAGAGGGAACAGCCTGCAGGCAAAGGACAAAGCCCTCATCCCACTCCCTTTGGGGCTTTCCCTGGTAGGACTTACAGCTCCTGTACCTTGCTGTACCCTGAGCTGCTCTGGGGGGACACACAGGGGACCTCCAGGTCACGCCAGCTGTGCCACATCTGGAGGTGTCAGGGCTGAGACGGAGTAACCCTGACATCTAGTGGTTTCCAGAGCCTGAATCCCAACATCCCCAAGCTGAGCCGAGCATGGAAAAGCTGAAGGCACCACGGACTGCCTCCAAAGGCCACTTTCCATGGGTGCAGCCAACAGCCTTTGCACAGAGCAAAGCAAGGAACCCACAATCATCACCACTCCCAGGGACGTTATTAATAATGTCACCTCTCAGAAATCATTTGGGGCCTGTTGTTTTTCCCTCAGGCTGTTGCATTTTGGTGCTCTGGCTCAGATAATCCCTGTGCCCTGGGGACCTTGCCCAGGGGATGATTTTCCATGGCCCCCTTGGGCAGCCAAAGTGTGGAACCACTGAAGGTTCCTGTGTGCCTGGAAACACTCCAGGGATGCTCCAAGAGCAGGAGGAGGTGCCAAGCAGGGAGTTTTCAGTGTGACTTCTTCCCATTTTAATGGGGAAGGAGAAAGAGGCTCTTGAAACCTCAGCAGAGGGTCCAGCTTCGCACTCCTGCTGCCAAGGTGGCTTTGGTAGGAGGGATTCTCCAAGCAGAAACACCCACTGCTCGTTCTCAGAGGGAGGGATAGAGATTCTGGGAGATGTGACTGACCTGGCTGCTCCATTGCAGCTGATCAGGTGTCTCAGTTCACTCAGCTTTTCTCCCCCTGTTCCCCCTGGCTATGCCACCGGCTGGGTTTCAAACCCTGCTGCCACATCCCCCAGCCCCTGGCCAGGTTCTCTGATCCACCTGCCAGCACATCCATTCAGAACAAGCTGGAAACGCTCCCCAAGCTCCCCCGGGCACGAAAACAACCCCAAGGGTGGAAACTATCGAGAGTCAAGAGAGGGTTTATCAACACTCCCCGCAGCGAACCAACACCGCGCTCTCCGCAAACCAGAAACGCAGGTCCCGCCGCGGCCGCTGGATGAAGGAATTCACACAAAAGCAGCTCGGAAAGCAGGAAAGAAGCAGTGAATAGTCACCCTAGAGAGATTCCCACGGCTGCTGTTCCCGTTCGCGGTGCTGCAGCGCTGCGGGCAGGACTGGGGCAGTTGCGGGAGGGAAGTCACACTGCTGCCACCGTCGTTGCCTCCTGGTTTCTCAGCAGTGTGGGAAAGCCATCGCCCCCATGCCAAGGCCTTTCCAGCTGTCGGTACTTCAGCACTGCTCACTCTGGGAGTTTGGCTCTGCCTGTCCCCTCAGCTGGGCAGGGATGTTGTGGTGCTCCCAGAACTCCAGCTCAGCGGCCACCTGAGTGGGTGAGGCAGGTCTGGGCCAGGGGGAAGGTGAAACACAACCTTCCAAGTGTGTTATAACACACTGTTACTCCCCATCCATAATCCCTCGAGGACATCTCCGGGATTCTGGATCGCTGCCTCCTTCTCCTGCTGCAGCCAGTGGGAGCCCTGGTATGGACACACAAACTCCTACCACTCCAACCCCTCCAGGTGTGGCTTCCACAAGCACTTCTGGGACACCCAGACCTTGGGGGTGCAGGAAATCCTGTTGACACAGACAGCCAGGCTGCTCCTGCTGCGTAGGAATCACCACAAAACGTGAAATCCTGGTGCTTTCCCACAGAGAAATCCTGGATATCCCAGGGAATGCAGGGGGCCCTTTGCCTGTTTTCCAGAATCAGTCACAGGATAGTTTGGGTTGGAAGGGACCATCCAGTTCCAAGCCCTTCCCCAGGAGCAGGGACACCTTCCCCTAGTCCAGATTGCTCAAAGTCCTGTGGATTTTGAGAACATGAGGATTGAAATGAGGATCCCCTCTGAGTGTTGCTGAGGGCTGGAAAGGCTCTGCCCCATCCTTGCTGTCCTCTCCAAGGTCCCCCAAGAGTGTCCCATTTCCAGAGGCCACACATCCCCCTCTCCTCCTGCCACCTTCTCTCCTGGTGCAGAGGATCCACCATGACTTCCCCTCCCTTCCAGCCCTATTTACACTCACAGCATTCCTCACTTCTCATGAAAGTCACTCCCAGGGTGAAATTTGAGTTTGTAAATTATTAAAATGTTATCAAGAGCATGCAGACCTGCCCTGATTGTCTTTGGTGGGTTTTTTTCCTGTTGGTGAATAAGCTGATGTATAATTCAATTTTCCCCACACAGTTTCTTCAGAAATACTTTAAAAATTATACACAAACACACACATGGAGGCAGATCCAAACCTTATTTCCATGTGTTTAGAAGCCTCTTTGGGCCAGAGGCTTTATCTCCCTCTCTGAGCTGAGAAAAGTTTGGGTGTTGTCATTACATGAATAATATATAATAATAATAAATTCAGAATTCCTCATTTCTGAGCGTTTCTTCATAATAAATTATTTTAAATGCCTTTTCTGAGAGAGAAGGAGCAGATGAGAGCACATACATGGCACACAATTATTGTTCTTTGCTATTACACAGAACAAGAACCAGTTAGTTTGCTGACAGTATTTCCTTAAAAAAAACCACAATCCTGCTTATAATTTGGATAGTTTTTAAATCTTTGGGCTGAAACTTCCTTGGCTGGGTTCCTAACAGGGTTCAGCTTTCTTTGCATGGTGAAATAAGCAAACTCTTATTTTTCCTCTCTCACATGTCAATAGTTTTACAGCCTTGAGGAGTTTCTGTGCCCCCAGACAGGGCAGCTGAGGCCAGTGGTGGCCTGCTGGAGGTACCTCCAAACTTAGTCCAAGCCAACAGCTCCTGGCAAAACCACTTTACACCATCCCTGTAGGTTGGTGTCTGGAAGCTGAAATCCCAGAATGTGGGCTCTGACCAAAGGAGATAAGCAATGAAGGAATGGGAAGGAGGGAGAGAATGGAGAGGTGATGGTTAAGCAGTGGGACAGGGCTGGAAAGGAGGTAGAGGAGCAGATGGAATAAGGCTCAAAGCCCAGTCCAACCTGGCCTTGATGGGCCCCAGGGCTGGGGCAGCCACAGCTTCTCTGGGCAACCCATGCCAGGGCCTCCCCACCCTCCCAGGGAAGAGTTTCCTCCCAACTTTTAATCTCAACCTACTCTCATTCAGCTTAAGGCCATTCTCTGTGTCCTGTCCCTCCATCCCTTGTCCCCAGTCCCTCTCCAGCTCTCCTGGAGCCCCTTTAGGCCCTGTAAGGGGCTCTCAGGTCTCCCTGGATCCTTCTGTTCTCCAGGTGAGCCCCCCCAGCTCTCCCAGCCTGGCTCCAGAGCAGAGGAGCTCCAGCGCTTGGAGCATCTCCGTGGCCTCCTCTGGACTTGCTCCAGCAGCTCCACGTCCTGACGTTGGGGACCCCAGAGCTGGACACAGCTCTGCAGGTGGGGTCACACCAGAGCAGAGCAGAGGGGCAG